GGGCTCGGCCGCGACCCTCCCCGCTCCGGCCGGACCCGGCCTTCCGCCAGCCCTGCCCTGCAGCGCGCCCCCTCCCACGGCGCAGACCCCAAAGCCCAGCCCGCCCCACCCGCGGCCGCCGAGACCCTGCCGCCTTTCGGCCAGGACCCCGGCCCGCACCCCCGGCCCTGCCGCTGGGGTCCTGACCACAGGGCATCTCCCCGCGGACGCACGACTGCTGGGTCCACGCGCCCGGGGCCCTCCGCTGCCCACATGCCCGTGCACCCCTTCCATCCACGCAGGGCCCTGCGCTGCCCACCGTCCACGCGCCTGGGGCCCTGCGCTGCCCACCGTCCACGCGCCCGGGGCCCAGCGCCCCCTTGTCCACCCCCCGGGGCCCTGCGCTGCCCACATGCCCGTGGGTCCTGTCCACTCTCCCAGGGCCCAGCGCTCCCCAGATGCCCGTGCGCCCCTTCCGTCCACGCAGGGCCCTGCGCTCCCCACCGTCCACGCGCCCGGGGCCTTGCGCCCCTCACAAACCTGTAACCCCCCCTCCTCAGTCCACCCGCCCTGCGCTCCCCACTTGTCCGTGCGCCCCCCAGATGCCCCCGTCCACCCGCCCAGAGCGCTGCGCTCCCCAGATGCCCATGGCTTTGCGAGGGTTCGGGCTAGGGTTGTGCGGAGGACCACTGCATGGTCTCTTGCACCTCAGTCTGCACATTTTCAACTGTAAGGTTTTGGTGTGCGAAAACTTCAAATATGGTAGATTTTTAAATCCGATTTTGAAAAAAAATGGATTGGTTACTAACTTGGCAAAGCACTCTTGTATAGAGGTTGTTCAGAAGAGTATTAAGTGGGAACGGTACTCCTAGAATGAAACTAGGTTTGATTCCATGTTTTTCCCCCAAGTTATAATTTGCTTGAGAAACAGAAATGTGCTCTCTAGGAAATTTAATTACTCCTCAGAGCTCTACCTCTGGGTCTTCCAGCAGCCTTTGTCCATAAACTGGTGTTTGAAATCTCTTTGGCTAGTTGAAGATGCTGATAAAAGCCTTTATTTTTTCTTTTCTTTTTTTTTTTTTTTTTTTAAATTTTGTGTGCGTGTACCGTCAAATCAGATCTGACTGGTACAGGAGGATATTGCGCCTCCTTCTCCGGCAGAGC